GGAAGCGAGGGGGGCGCGGGGGGAACGGGACAGCTCATGTCTCCTGGCTTCCCGCCCCGGGGTCAGCTGGCTTACAGTCACACAGGAACCGCACACCCGGGGGAGCCCGAGGCCCTCAGCGCCATATTGATGGGAGAGGAGCGTTCTGTGGGAAGATGAGGGGGGGGAAAGCGCCTCGTCAAGGTCGCGCAGGGGAGGGCGCTGTGGCTGGGTGCGACAGGTCGTGCTGTTCCGAGGTGGCAGTCGGCGAGGGTGGAGGGTGCTGGGGAGAGGCATCTACCTCCTGCCGCCTGTGGTCGGAGGGAGGAGTGATGGCTTGAATTCCTTGGAGGTGTATGGACCTCAGCTTTGAGCCTTTGGATAGGGAGAGTGTAGCTGTACTGTCTGAGCTCGCTGCTTGCCTTTTGGGAAGTGAGGCACTTCTGGCACTAACAAATGATCCGTACATTAGGTCCTGGGCTAGCTCACTGCGGGGTGGATCAGGCCATGGGATGCCTAGGTGGTATGAGACTGGGTAGGGGATGAATAGCAGACAACACTCAGGAGAAGGGAGTATGGAAGGGGTAGAAAACCTAATCTTATAGTTTATGTATGTGCCATGTAGGTAAGGGGTACCCACAAACCGGGTACCCTCTGGTCCTTGTACCTAGAAGAAAAAGGTCAGCTGTGACAAAGCAGAGCCCTGGGGGAAAGATACTTTTGTGTTGAGTCACAAACGTATTGAAAAATGTGGAGAGCTGTTTTTTTTGTCCTATTTCTGCTGACGAGGGACGACCTGGCCTGGAGTCCTAAAAGTGCTAAAATGTCTTAATCCCCTTTTACAGGCATCCAGGTGCCTTGAAAGGCTGTGGCCTTGTGGTTCTGTGCCATATTTCCTTACAAGAAAAATGAGGGGAGTGTTTACAGGGTGGGAGGGAGAAGGCCTAGGCTGCCTAGGGGGGTGTCCAGGTGTGAATGCTACCTCGGGAGTGATCTGCGCCCTGCAAGCAAAGGACCTCGTCCCCTTTGCCTCTATCGCTAACCTCAGCCGGAAGAGAGCTCAGCCCGGGACATTTACATGATGTAGGTGGGAGAAAGCATGCCTGAGAGTCATTTCCCCAGTTTGTTTACTGGGGCCTAACTGGTAGCTCCAAGTTGTGCAGGCCAGAAACACCTACGTGTTTGGCTGGAAAGATTGGTGAAGGTGGTATGAGCACTGGCAGAAGATTATGGCACAGCTCCAGGATCCAGTGGCTCCCTGGGCTGCCCCAAATTTTTGCCAATAAAGTGGGAGACTGGCAGACCCTACTGTGTAGTCCCCATGGAATACTTCTCTGTCAGCATCAGGACAATAACTGTAAAGCCTTGGGAAAGGGGCTGTCTCAGTTCCTCCTGGGATAAAAGCATGATCTTTCCAAATTGTGCAAACTCAAGCACTGGCTGTCTAAGTGCCAAATCCTGACTCACCTGCCTCCCTAACACAGAGCTAGCTTAAATGCCGCAAGCTTTAAAAACATAGAAAATGTCAGATGCTTTTCACTGACACTTAAATTTCTCGGTCTGTGGGATGTCTGGGGCTGGACCGTCAAGATTCTTCTATGGCTCTGAGGGCTCAGCAGTTTTTATTTTAAGAGATTCACATATCAAATGCTGGGGACTGTGTTTCATTAAAAATGCCAAGTATTGCCACAGCTTCATGAAAAATAAATGGGAAGGTTGGTAGCGCTGCTGCCGCCTCTGTGAGGCAGGCTGCTGTGCCAGATGCCCTGGGGCAGAGTTGGGAAGCTCTAGCTTGGGAAAAGTGCGCCTGTTGCTGAGGAGTGTGTGTTTTCACTGTTAGGAGTGACTGGCTCCTAACAGTTCATGCATGGGCAGATCTGAGACTCAGTTTATGGGAACTCTTCAGTTGGCACAGGGAAGAGTTAGACCCTTGTTTGATGACGTGCCAGAGATCAGCAAAAGCTTTTCTGTAAAGCAGATCAACCCAAAATAACAGCCACTAATGCAGCCAGTGTATTCATTACTAATGAGCTGAGAATAGTTGATGAAGGTCAGGAGATAATAAAGGGGAGGTCCTGACAGGCCCTTCTATTTCTAGTCACCGAACTTCTTCCTGCTGTACAGTTGTGCCTCCCTTTCCAGGGTCTCTGTTACTGGTGCCAAACCTTGCTGGATAAAAGCCTGTTCCTTGCCCTGGGCATGCTTTTACATGGCACCTATGAGCTGCAGCTGTGGTTTATGCTGAAGAGAAACTGAAGTTGTGTAGAAAGCATGAATAACCAAATTTAACTAAATGATTGTTTTCTCTCTTTCCACAGAAAATCACAGCACCCCTTATCTATGCTGTTTCCATTGCTGCCATTGGATCTCTCCAGTTTGGGTACAACACTGGTGTCATCAATGCTCCTGAGAAGGTGAGGGGGAGAATGAGTAGGGGAAATTGTATGAGTGAGGGGCTGATAGGAAAACAAAAGCTCTCGAAAGGAGAGGAGCTCTCTCCCAAGCAGCTAAGGAGTTGGTTCTGGTTTATGAAATCAAGAGGACATTCAAAATACCCCCTTAACTACAACAGTGGAAAGGAAGGGCTAAATTTTGGGGAGGTGAGAGCAAGCAGAGAGGTTGATTCTCTTAAGTAGAAGTGCATATGGTTCAGGAGGGTTCCATCTGCCATTTCCTGGTATGTTTATATCTGGTGCATGGAGGAATGTGAGCCACTTCAGTTTTGAGTCAGAATAAACCAGCTGTGGCAGAAGGAATGTAGAGAGCAGCATGCAGAAAACAGTTGAGGGTTGGTAGGGATTACAGTTTCTGTAGTTTACCTCAGGGACCATCTCAGGCTTCTTTTTTACTTGCTTATTCATTTCTTGTGTTAAGTGTAGATTCAGTGCTTGTAAAAGGGTTGTGATTGGGGCACTCTGACCAAGTCATCTCATGACTGTAGGCTAAGAGAGAAAAGAGATGAAGAAAACAAGAAATGTGGTTTTCTTGTAACTGAGATGTTTCCTCTCTCTCAGGAACTGTGAGTCACCAGTACCACATCCACCCTCTCTCCCGGAATAGATGTCACATCACTTTGGGGGGGGGGTGGGGCAGGCAGGGGTCGTCCCCAGCTAATATCCTACTGCCATCTGCTGGGGGCAGACATTCTGAGGCCATGTCCCCCTCAGGCCTTGCAGAATTTCCCTCTTTATCAAAAGCATGCCTCAAATAGCAACACAACCCTGTCACATCCCCATGGTGCAAGAAAGATTCTTTTACATAATGCTGCAGTTTTTCAAGCTTACCTCAGTGAAACTTTCTGTCTCTCAAACTATTTCCAACCCAGAAAGCCTGTCCCTGCTGCTGGAAATCTGGTATTTTGCTAGAAATTGTCCCTTTCATTCTCTGGTCATGTTTACTTGCTCCCTCTCTCCCAACTGCCTCACACCCCCTCCCAAATACCAGTGGTGACTCACATCAGAAACATTCAGAAAATAACCCAGTTTTCCTTAATAAATGCTGGCCCACCCCCTCATGTTCAGTGAAGTAATCGCCCTCGTCATACTGCTACATGTCTGCTGCACTTCTCGGTGGAAGTTTCTACACCCTCATCTTCCCCTTGTACGACTAGTTGCTGACTACTGAATGTTTAGGGTCTGTCCTTGCTGCTTGCCTCCATGACAACAGAAGGAAGACCTCAGAAGTTATCTCCCCTCTCCCCAGTGCAAAATGCCTGCCACTGGATTGTAAATCTGTCCCCACCTGGTTTCTCTTACAGATCATCCAGAGGTTCTTCAACAGAACCCTGTCAGAACGAAGTGGGGAGGTTGTCTCCCCAGAGCTTCTCACCTCTCTGTGGTCACTTTCTGTGGCCATCTTCTCAGTGGGAGGTATGATCGGCTCCTTCTCTGTCAGTCTGTTCGTCAACCGATTTGGCAGGTAAGTTGGGAAGAGGGATCCAAGACATTAGAGAATTTTTCCCTTCTACAGTGGAATGTTGGGGGGAAGAGAGCAGAGGTTAGAGGAAGGGAGGAGGATGAGGTGGGGCAGGAAGCCAGAATGTGTGGACTGCAGAAAGAAAGGGTTGCAGGCCAAGGCAGGAGCTGAATGGAAAATACTTTGTTCTACTCCCATCCCTGAGATAGGTCATGTGTAGGTTTACCCCTCTCCCAACGATTTTTCCACTGTATTGCCAGTTTAAGTTCAGTCTTGACATCTTTACCCTGGCAGGAGGAATTCCATGATACTGGTGAACATCTTGGCCTTTGTTGGTGGCACTCTCATGGCCTTCTCTAAGATGGCAAAGGCAGTGGAGATGCTGATTATTGGCCGCTTCATTATTGGTCTCTTCTGTGGTCTCTGCACTGGCTTTGTGCCCATGTACATCAGTGAGGTCTCGCCCACCAGCCTCCGTGGAGCCTTTGGCACCCTCAACCAGCTGGGCATTGTTGTGGGCATCCTGGTGGCCCAGGTAGGCTTGACATAACCTGATCCTGCCCTCAGGGGAAAGAGGGGCTGGGGGAGGGTGAGGTGGGCCACGCTTGTTGTCAGGTGTGGTATGTGGTCCTGTCATACACTGGTCTGGGGATGAGGAATGGGTATTCCTCTCTCTCTAATTACTCTCTAAATCCTTTTGTAGATCTTTGGCCTGGAAGCAATAATGGGGACTGAAGCACTTTGGCCGCTGCTTTTGGGGTTCACAGTCCTCCCAGCAATCCTGCAGTGTGTGGCTCTTCTTTTCTGCCCTGAGAGCCCTCGTTTCCTACTGATCAACAAGATGGAGGAAGAAAGAGCACAAGCAGGTACGAACCCATCTCTGAAGGAGCAGGGCTATATTCTGGCTCTCAGCCTGCACTGAACCTGAGTGGGAAGCCAGGACTGACTCTGGAGCCGGTGGTGCATCAGGGTGACTCCCAGAGGGCACCCAACGAAGATGTGAGATGGAATTAAGATGTGAGGAGTGGCACCTGGCCTGGTGGGATGTAGCAGGGCCAGCTGCTGCAGGTCTGTCAGCTCCTCCTGAAAGGCAGGAAATAGGCTGACATTTAACAGCTGTTTGGAGGGTGCTTCCCTCTCCTCCTGTAGAGGGACTGGAGTAAGCTCTGGCAAGTGTCTGAAGAGAATTAAGGATACATGGTGAGTGTGGAGACCAAGCCACATGAACAAGACCTGGGCTTAGTTTCCATGCTCATCAAGCCACCCAGACCTCTGAATAGATGTGCGAAGGCTGCACGTAGAGGCTGCCTTTCCTATGCGGCAGGCTCAGGCACTGACTGGCAGGTGATCCAGTCTTTCCAGTGTGCCCTCACTGAAATACTGCGTCCAGCTGTGGAATCCCCAATATCAGAAGGATATTGACCACTTGGAGCGAGTCCAGAGGAGGCCACGAAGATGATCAGAGGGCTGGAGCCCCTCTGCTATGATGAAAGGCTGCAAGAATTGGGCTTGTTCAGCCTGGAGAAGAGGAGGCTCGGAGGAGACCTCATTGCAGCTTTCCAGTATCTGAAGGGGCTACAAGGGGGCTGGGAGAGGACTTTTTACAAGAGCCTGTAGTGACAGGACAAGGGGTAACGGGTACAAATTGAAAACAGGGTGGTTTAGATTAGATATCAGGAAGAAATCCTTCCCAGAGAGGGTGGAGAGGCACTGGGACAGGTTGCCCAGAGAAGCTGTGGATGCCCCATCCCTGGAAGTGTTCAAGGCCAGGCTGGATGAGGCTTGGAGCAACCTGGTCTAGTGGAAGGTGTCCCTGCCCATGGCAGGGGGGTTGGAACTAGGTGATCTTTAAGGTTCCTTCCAACCCACACCATTCTGTGATTCTATGAAATAGCAGAGTGGGGTGCAGGGGGAACCTACTGCATTATACCTAGTGTTTTTTGATTCCTCCTTCCAGTTCTCCAGAAGCTCCGTGGTACACAAGATGTGTCTCAAGACATCCTGGAGATGAAAGAAGAGAGTGCTAAAATGTCCCAGGAAAAGAAAGCAACTGTGCCAGAACTATTCCGTTCTCCAAGCTACCGCCAAGCCATTATCATTGCCATCATGCTGCAGCTTTCCCAGCAACTCTCGGGCATCAATGCTGTGAGTTATCTTCCTGTCCCATCCGCTGGGTCTCTCTCAGTACACTTGCACTTGCCACTGATGTTGAGAGAAGTGTGCTTCCAGAAGCCTCTTTACACCTTGACTAGAGGTCGATGTTTTGAAATAACGCAGAGATTGCTAAGATGGAAGGTGGAGGTTATGTGGGCTTTCACTTTTTCCCCCCCATACACCCTGGCATGACATTGCAGCCTTGCACCTTGACTGGAAGCATGCCATTTTAGGTTGAGTGCTTCTTGGAAAACTCCCTATTGAGCCTGCAAGCCATTAGGCAGAGAATGAGGGACATGCTCTCAAACACTGGAATCGTGACAACTCTTGTTTCTCTTCCCAGGTATTCTACTATTCTACCGGGATTTTTGAAAGGGCTGGTATCACACAACCTGTGTATGCCACTATTGGAGCTGGCGTGGTAAACACAGTCTTCACTGTGGTGTCGGTAAGTGGAACAGGGCCTTATGGTGAGAAGTAACTTACCTGCCTGGGCTTTTTTGGGAGATGTGACTGAAGGGAAGAGGTTGGGCTGTGCCAAAGCATTGGGCTAGGCAATGGCCTTAAAGAGCAACGAAAAGAATGCCTTAAAAGCATTGTGGGAAGAGAGGAGGGGAGAAAGAGGTATTATCCCTTTAGAAGTAAGGGAGGGTGAAAAGGAGTGCAATGCATGGGGGGAAAAGACTGACTAGAGAAAGCAGTAGCAAGAAGCCGAGAGGAGGAACCTATGCTGAGGATGGAGCAGCCTGGTGACCTTCACGGAGATGACTGCTGAAGGGGCTGCAGGCAGATAAATAAAAGGTGCAGGGCACACTGTGCAAGGGAGTCTCTTCTGCTCTTGCTGATGAAGTAATAGATTTTTTTTTTTCTCCTTCTACCATGTTTCCAGCTGTTCCTGGTGGAGCGTGCAGGACGCAGGACCCTCCATTTAGTTGGTTTGGGTGGCATGGCTGTGTGTGCTGTTCTTATGACCATTGCTTTAGCTCTGAAGGTGAGTGTTCTTGTCCAGGCTGACCCCAGCAGCCTATAAGGTTATACACCTGCCTTACCCTGCAGTTCTGCCCTGTATGCCGGTACGGCTGAGGCTAGAGCTGAGTGTGTGATGGAGAACTCAACTTTCTAGCAGCGGAAACTGCCACAGTGTTCACAGTGCAGCTGAGAAAGTTGGGACACTGGAGATGGCAGTGTGCTGTGTCTTGTTTGCCTCAAATTGCAGCTGATCACGTTTTGTTCCCTTGCAGGACCTTGTGGCGTGGATCAGATACATCAGCATTGTTGCCACTTTTGGCTTTGTGGCTCTCTTTGAGATTGGCCCTGGCCCTATCCCCTGGTTCATTGTGGCCGAACTCTTCAGCCAGGGCCCACGGCCTGCAGCCATGGCAGTGGCTGGTTGTTCCAACTGGACCTCTAATTTCTTGGTGGGATTATGCAGAGGTAAGAACCTGGTTTGCAGAGCGCTGTGGGAGTGCTGCAGCAGCGTTGCAGTCGGTGTCCAGAGTGGTTGTTGAATCTCCATCCTTGGAGACTTCAGAACGTGACTGGCTGACCCTTATCAACCCGATCTCTCCCTGAAGTTGTCCCTGCTTTGAGCAGAGGGCTGGTCAGTCTTCCAGAGTTCCCTGATTCGGTGCTCTGACTGAAGGTTAAGAGTGTTGTGGCTCACTTTGTATTCTGTTGTCTTAACTGCTTGTACCTTACAAGTAGTTGGAAGAGCTATCTTAATTAGCACAATGGGGCTTTTCCTTTAAAGACCTCAATTTCGGTAATGCCCACGAACACTAAAGCATTTCAGAAGCCCCCAGGAACTTGATTTCTTTTTCAAAAATGCTATATTGAGGAAAAAGTCAGTAAAGGGCACTGTTGGAGAAAGGTGTTAGAATTTTGACCTGTCAACAGCAAATGACTATCTAGGTTTATGAGCTTTTCAAATTAAAACCGCCTGTTTTTGTCTTCCCTGCAGAAACTATGTGGGTCCTATGTCTTCCTCATCTTCCTTGTTTTCCTGGTCATCTTCTTTGTCTTCACATTCTTCAAAGTGCCGGAGACCAAGGGCAGGACTTTTGAAGATATCTCCAGGGGCTTTGAAGGACGAGCAGGAGCCAGCCCCACATCACCTGTAGAGAAGAACCCCATGGTGGAGCTGAACAGCATACAACCTGACAAAGAAGTTGCCTAAGATTCATGACACACCCCTTCGACTCAGATGCTTAAAGAGTCATTAAAGGAATGAGCAAAGAAAACGATGAGAACTGGGACATTTTTTACTCCCCTCAGTTGCTGCTATTTTCTTCTTTGCACCCACATCCTCCCCCATTTTGCCAGGCTTACCGGCATTAGGCGAACCTGATATGGGTGATCCCACTTTCAAGTACTGGAAGGCATCTGGCACTTGCAAAAATAATCTCATCTTCCCTCTCCCAAACATCAGGAGAACAGGGAAGAGCTGGCAGCGGTTTTGCTTTTTCTTGCCCATAATTGCTATTTGGGGTTTAACATACTTATGCACATAGTGACCGTTACGTATTTGAATCTAATTACTATTTTTGTAGTGAGTTGAAGTGACCCACTAAACAAGTCCCCAGCCCTTTGAGTCTAGTGTGTGTGTGTGTGCAGTGTTACACTGGAATTTAACACGCCTACCAAAAAGCCATCTCCTTGTTTTTTTGTTTTTGGGTTTTTTCCCCTATCCAGTGTGCACTTTTTTTTCAGCCTCAGGAAAAAGGGGACCAAGTTACATGCATACTTTTTCCAGCTCTTTTATTTTTTTTTTGTATGGACAGACGGAAAGCGTACTTTTACTTAAGTTTATTTATTTGTATGTCACTTTGTAAATATTTATTTTTTTAATGGTGTACAAAAGTGTACAGATAAAGAAATTGAAGATATTTAAGAGAAATAGCTATTAACAAAAGATGCTGTAGACTTGCGGTGCAATAAGACTGTAAAGGAGAAGTGTGGTGCTGAACAAGAGAGTGGGCATTTTGGATGGTACGTAGAACAGAGCCAATTATGCACATCACCTTTACATAATTTGTAGACTCTGGAGGGAAATGCAGAGAATGGCATACTAGTGGGAAGAGTGTGGCTGTCCACCAAAATCTGGTTTTTGGGATTTTTTTTTTTAGGTGTCAATTTTAAACGTTGTTCCTAAGTGCTGATTGGAAAGTGTGGTATTGCAGTAAATGAGTGTTTTTAGTTTGTTTTCAGTCATGGTTAAGCATTGTATGGGATGATTGAGGGTGGTGACTGCAAACCAGAAGGTAACTTTTCCTGCCTTCTCTTAACTTTGGGGTTTTTTTTTTGTGTTTGTTTTTACTTCTGTGCTGTATTCTAATAGGTCAGGAAGTCTGAAATTTGCAGATTGTTACTTAAAGGTGTGTGAGGATAAAAATTTATTTTCCAAAGCTGTATTTTCTTAGCGATTATCTATATTGGACAAAGGTGTGTAGCATGGTCAGTTATGGCATGAGTAAGTTCTTAAAAGGTTGAGATGTAGGACTAGAGACCAGTGCTGCTGGAACTTGGTAGCGTAGCAGTGTGAAAGGTCTGCTGGGTGGTTGTAGGCCAGATGTTTGTGCCCAAAGTGTCCTCTCTGGAAGACGGGCATGGTGTTGTCATGCTTGTCAGCGTGCAGCATGTACAGCTCTATACTGCCTCTGCCAAAAGGGATGTATGGAAGACAGTAACTGTACATCAGTAAATGCTGGTCTCCCTGTTTGTCACGCTGCTGGGTGATTGAGAGTAGGTATGCACCTGCCCTTGCTGCCCAGCCAGCACAGTTTGGGAAGGCAGCAGGTAACGTGTGCGGTAGGTATGCTCGCAGTCAAGGCGTGGGGGTTCGGCGTTACTGGCTGCAGCGCTCTGCTGAGGGAGGCTGCGGGTCTGTGTCTGTCCAGACCTACACAAGCTAAAGGTAGGTCCAGTTTAAACTTGTGCTGTAAGATCATCTGCGTTTTCAGACCTGATCAAACTTGATCTACCTGCGAACTTGACGCTGGAGTTCATTGCTGGATAGCCTAGAAGAGGCAGGGCCACAGATTCCAGGGTGGGTGACAGGAAGAAAGGCTCAGGACAACAGGAATGACAGCACAATCGTAGTGTGGATAGCCCAAGCTTTCTTGGCAACCGTCTGCTTCAGAGCAGGTCAGAGGAAGTTCTCATTGGCATATATTCTGGGGGTGTGTATCTGGTATTTTCAGCAACTTAGAGTGATGACATTTTTTCCTTCCCTAATGAGAAAAAGTTGCAAAGATCTGTAAAATTTACTGCTGTGAAATACTCTGGACTTCATTTGAAAACTCCAGCTTTGCCCAATGCAAGCCTATTACATCCAATTTTCCCTCGCTTTCTACCAGGCTTCCATGCCAGATATTTATTCTGAGAAGTATTGCATATGACTTTTTTCCCAACTTTCATATTTTGACTCGGTTACACAGATTTGTGTCCTCTGGCCCTCCAGCACTTCCAGACATCATATTTCTATATGGGCATCTATATGTTAGGAAATTCTCCCTACAGCTGTGCATAAGAGTATTCCATACTTTGCATCAGAGATGTGTGTTGGCTTGGATTGAAATGTATAGGTCTTTCTCACATGGTATCTTTTGTTTTCTTTTTCTGTTGACAGCATTGTCAATATTTTGGATGGGTTTTATATGCTTATTAATGTGGTTGTTTCCTGTTTTTAAAATAAAAGCTATAGAACTAAGTATCTGGTTTGGATTTTACCTTTACCCTGTAGGCTTTCTGTTTCTTACTCCTTTATCACAACCTGGGACTACATCCTGGAATGTCTGAAACTTGTGACCTGCAACCTATCCCAGCATCCTGGATTTGCTGTTTTATCTTAGTGGAAATGGCCATTTCTCTCAGCCTCTAGGAGTATCACCTTAATAAATTCCCTTACTACTATTCCTTAGGAGTTTTCTCTTGCTCTTGCTTGCCCAAATCCTTTAGCTTGCACCAAAATCCTTTCCCAGCATTTATCAATAACAGGATGGAAGGAATTGATAGGAAGGGAAAGATGGCAGAACCCAAAGTACCCAAGAAGAATCGGGTTAGTACAACTCGAGAGGCAGCGAACTGCACAAAGCAACCAGAAAACAGTAGGGTGTAATGTAAATTCTAAAAAAGCTCAGCATCAACACAGAACCAGTACAGGCTTTTTAGAAACCTGGCATCACTGGCTCCTGTGTGTTCCTGGCTGATGTCTGGGCAAAGTTTGCTATGCAACACCTGAGAGCTGGCAGTGCTCTGGGCTAAGGTGTGCATGACTTTTTTGACTCTGGCTGAGCTGAAAAAAAACCCCCAAACCCAGCCATCCAAATTCATAAGTATATCTAGGTCAAACTTCTGTTTTCTTGTTAAAATGGGAACTGAGAGGGCCAAAGCACATGATTCACTGAGCCCTAAATCAATGCGTTGTGTAGTTCTTTGTGATAAACTTGTCAGGGAATGAGTCTTTTTGCTGTGGTTATTTTATTTCTGGAAATTGTAATGAAGATTGAAAAGGGAAAGCTGTCTGCAATTAAATGGTTTGAATGTGTGAAAATGCGTTGTTTTCAGTTGAAACTGTTCATCACATTCAAGTGAGCATGTAGGCACTTATGGCCACCACAATCCCCCCCAAAAATGTCATTCAGCTGACAGGGGTGGCAGGGCTAGCTTGGGCAGGTATGGTTTTGATACTGCCCACAGAGCTTTGTTCTGGCTTGCTGTGTGCAAGTGGCCCTGCTGAGACCTTCAAAGCATTGGATAGGCCTCTGAAAATCAAGCTAGCCCCAGAGCAGTGGGTGAGATCAAGGCATCAATGCAGCGAGCTTTTTGCCTGCTAATATCCCTGTATGACCTCTTAAGTATACTCTGGTAGGAAGCAGAACACTCCAAGTCTCTGCATCCCATCCCCACCTGGACCAAGTTGGGGGAAGGCAGCAGGGGAGCACAAAAGGGGAATGCAACAGTGAAGGAAGTGAACCTTTAAAATCAGAGAGTAAGTCCCAGAGGAACTACCCTCCGTTCACGGCTTCCCCTCTCTTTGCCAAACAGCCTACGTTACAAAACCTGTGAGCTTCTTGGCACCTTCTCAGGTGTCACACTACTGGCAGAAATGCTAGGTCAGGACCACTCTGGATTCCATCTCTGCTCCTGTGCGTTCCCCATCTGGGCAGTGGTTGGCAGAGGTGTTGCCACCGGGAAAATCCTAAATGGCATGGAAACTCTTGACCTGTCTGTGGAATCAGAAGGCCCTGTCATGCGTATGAGTAACTAGATCTCTGGAAACCACTTCTAGGAGAAAAACTACTGCTGAGTGGACAAGAGAAGATCTCAAGGGTCACAAGTGACAACAGCCACATCAAAGGTTTCAGTGCCATATTACGGTCTGGAGAATGATAAGGAGCATCACTGCCAACATTTATTGCTTTTTGCATGTGTTATTTCTGATGGACATATTTGTGTACAAGACATGAAAAGCAGTTAATTTCTGTGAGAAGAAATGTGAAAAACCCCACACCCCGACATTTTATGGGAGGTAGATACGACTGCTTCATGCCCTGTGCACAAATCTTGATACCTGACTTTGTGCTCTTTTTAAGTTCATAGAATCACAGAATGGTTTGGGTTGGAAGGGACCTTAAAGATCATCTAGTTCCAACCCCTCTGCCATGGGCAGGGACACCTTCCACTAGACCAGGTTGCTCCAAGCCTCATCCAGCCTGGCCTTGAAGACATCCAGGGATGGGGCATCCACAGCTTCTCTCGGCAACCTGTCCCAGTGCCTCCCCACCCTCTCTGGGAAGAATTTCTTCCTGATATCCAATCTAAACCTCCCCATTTTCAATTTGTACCCGTTACCCCTTGTCCTGTCACTACAGGCCCTTGTAAAAAGTCCTCTCCCAGCACCCTTGTAGCCCCTTCAGGTACTGGAAGGCTGCAATGAGGTCTCCTCGGAGCCTTCTCTTCTCCAGGCAAATTCCTGACATCTCAGCAGCTGGGGAGACTATGGAGATGCTTCTTTGGGAAGGTACCCAGGTGAGAAGCCAATCAGTGCTTATGTCCAAGCAAAGCTACTAAGCTCTTCTTTGAGGGCCGCTCAAATGAGGGACATTTCCTCGTTTGGTGGGGGACTGCGCTGCCATCAGCTGCATTTGAGAGGAAGGATGGTGTGGACGCTGCTGA